ACAGGGTTCCAGTTGTTACATCGACGATTTCTCTTCCTAGCGGGACCATCGACGTCGAACTACCTACTCATGTACCCTTCAAGTATCGACGCCTCCTTCTTGAGGTACTACAGGCTTACCTTGAAACGGTTAGCATCCTGGACCATGACATAGGACTGCGCAAATTTGCAATCTGGACCTCACCGTTGGGGCCTAGGCCTGCACCCGTCGCGCAAAGGGTATCTAGTCTACCCATGTCTTATAGGGGCATTTTGGCATATATCTCAACTTATGGGGGTATTCCGCAAATTCCTCCAATTGAGATGTATTGGACTGAGCAACATGATGAGGTTGGGTCCTCACAGTCTACCCCTATCTTCTTTGCTACCGTCTTCTCCCCGAACACGACGCACCCTCATTTTGACTGTATCGAGCCGGAAACATACCTTGTATACATTCATTTTCAAGGTGTGTTGTGACGAACGGTCTTCTGTAACAACGCTACTTTCTGCGAGACGCTGATTTGGGGGTACGGATCGGGCTAATCTGGCGAAGTGTGGGAGACGGGGTCAACAGGGCAAATTGCATGGGCATCCTCGCTTTTTCTTTTTTTTCTCTTCGGTGATGTCGGGCCAGGGCCGGGGAAATCTCGGGCGGAAGGTTGAGGGGGAGCGCGCCACGACAGGCAATCAATAACGGTTGCCATAGGTTCTTTCTTGTTCTGCTGGGGCGAACGGGAACGAGAATTTTGGCGCGATGACCGCGCGGGAACATCGTTTTTCTTTTTCAAATTTTCTTTCAACTGATGTCGAGCCCCCGTGGGCTCCTCGGAATTGTTTTTCGAGTTTTCGTTCTTCAGAATTTTCTTTTTTCTGCAATTCGGATTTAGATAGGAATTTAGGAACTTTGAATCCTACGGCGGGAGCAGATTTCAGACTAAGTGGCGCCCTTAATCTTGTGTGTAACTGTAACTTTTGGCGGGCGCAATTGTAACTGTATCTCTCTTCTTGATTCTCTCGCCTTCTTCCCACCTTTTTTCTTCCTGCTTGGCATGTGCCTCCCTATGATCTGGTTGGTCCAGACGTTGCATGCTCAAATCGATGCGTGGAGAGTGGCTACGTCCCCCACGCCGCGGCCTGGCCATGCAGAATGTAGGCACTTCCTTTCTCCTCCCCTCCTTCTCAAAAGCGCAAACCCATATCTGTCGTGCATGCATGCACGCTATAAATCTTGCGAGCGCGATTAAAGCTCTCTCTAAAACTTTGGAAAACTCCAAGGCGCCTCCACCTTCGCTCACCCTCTACGCTGCGGCAGGTCCACTTGTAAGATAAAAGGACACAAAGGGTTCCGAGAAATCAGCTATTCGTGATACTCATAACAAAGGCTCCCATTTAATGGTAGAGGAGAGCATCTGGGACCAGCGGGACTCACTCCTGGTGGTCTTTGGGGTTCACGCCGCCCAGGTCGGCAGAACCGGTCCTAGACTCGGATCGAACACCAGTTAGGTTCGTCCGAGTCCTCGTCTTCCGTCGTGGTTTTCTCTTCATTCTTCGACCGCCACCGAATCATATTGATCCGGCGAACTTCGGCGGAACGGGGCGGGGCTGGTTGTGCGTGTACGCGCACTGCTAGCCTCATTGGCATCATTTAGGGTTTGGGGTGGGCCGACGTCAGCACCACCTTCGAACTGTCAAAGTGCATTCAAACTCCAACTGCCACCTGCCACGGGAGTCCTAGCAGCACATCATACGCCTGTACATCCAACACAATTGCGTCACACAGACAATGCACCCGTCCGACTCGTATGAGTACATTCGTAATTCGCCCCTTACAATTAATGATCTCCTCCGTGGTGGACACATACAATTCATCCGGTCGGAGGGGCTGAACTTGTCCCTCCAGTCCCGAGCTCTTTGCTAGCCCCCAAGAGAGGACCACTGCCGACGATCCGGAATCGAGGATGGCTGCTGAGGGGCTTCCCCAGACCAGGCTCACAGTCACACTGGACACTTTTCCAGGTAATCGGATAGGCCCAAAGAAATACCTTGGGCTTCTCCGTCGGTGGATCTGTAGCTTGGATCATTCGATGCGGGCCGCTTCGTTGGGTTTCGAGGTTGAGGGTTGTGCCTCCGTGGCAACCGGTCGACTGTCTATAACTAACTTTTTGCCCTTCCGACTTTCCTCAAACTGGCGCCGGTTCTTTAGGAATCGCTCAATTAAACTTTCATTGGCCGCCTCCAAAATGATAAGTAGGTAGGGGATGGGCACAGGGATCCGCAGTTCCAGAGCTTTCATGGCATCCAAGACGTCGATTTGACCATCCTCATACTCGGGAACCGACGTCATGGAATCCTCGAAACCGGGTCTCCAAGGCTGAAGGTCACTTTTCTCGGTAATCCGTGGGATATGGCGTATCACTCCAATGGTCCCGGGCTCGAGCATGACCGCCGTCATGTACTCGTTGGACCCAATTTCGGCGGCCGCCGAGGTCACAATTTCAGATATTCTGGTATCAATGACAACCGCTACCCTACCTTGGCCCGCGGCAGTGGGTGCCCCCAGTGGGATCAGGGAGTGTACGACTGAACCTACTTGAATCCGGGGTTTTGGACAATCCTTAGTGAGGTGGCCCGACTGATTACAGTTATAGCACCGCATGGGCTGAGCGTCCCTGACTAAAGTCGGCCTGGGCACGGTCGTCCCTGTCGCCATGGCTGCTTGTTGTCTTTGAGCCGCCGCAGCTCTCTGCCTCAGTGCCTCGTATACAAAGCTCAATGGAACTCACCTCACCCTCTCCGTTTCAGCCAGAGTGCACTCTCAAGGATACAATGTCGTGTTCACCAATTAGTTGTTAGGGCAAATGTGACTAGGACCGAGTCGCGGAGATATCAACCGCGTCGTAGAGATGCGTGCGACTGGTATCCCCAGTCGTCGGATGCAAGTCGTGGAGAAACACCAGCCCAATTGACCCGGATCACCTGCTAGCGCGAAGGGAGAGGAGGGAAAGAGTTGGCGCCGATCCCCGCACATGCGCAGTAATTTATAGTAATTTGATTTATTGATATTCAATAGAATAGTGAAATAATATATAAAGAAAATAGTAAAATAGATAAAATAGTTCAGTAGAGTCATCAATATGAATATAGATATATGTATATATCTATATTATCTATATTCATATATCTATATAGAAAGAGAAAGATATATGTAATTCCCCCTTGTTATTCAATACAATATTATTTCTTCTTATCTAATTTTTATTTCATACTCGCGGCGCCGGGATCGGCAAAGGTCGGGGAAGGGAGGGAAATCCAACACACTCATGCATTCATGCAGACGGTCGATACCTCGTGTTCCCCAGAGCTGCGCTCGTGAGTGCCCACACATCTACACATTCATCTATCTTGGACAGCGAGACATTCAGCATCCATAGACTCTTGTACCAATCAGCATGCATACGACTGAATACCAATACCTCGGGACACTGCACACATCACACTTGGACAAAGCAACAATGGAGATAAAAGTGAGTCCCTCGCTACGCAAAATTCACACACGGCTGGCCTCCCTCAGGCGCAACCCTTAATCAATCCGAACACCAACCAACCATAGCCACAAGGCCCTGCTGCTGGCGGCGTTCGATCTCCACCACCGCTCTGTCACCCCGACTGTCTTACCCCAAGTCTACCGCTAGTTCCACACCACGTCGTCATTCCGCCCGTCACTGGGCATGTCAAGCATGTTCGACATCATGGACTTCACGCATAGCTCGCACAACATTGCAGCCGAGATAAAAGAGGAGGAGAGGAGGGACTGTGAGAATTTATAGCATGGAAGGCAGCGAGTTGCCAGCGGGAGGTACGGGTAGCAAGGGGTGTAGATGAGCTGGACAGAAGAAAGGCAGGGATTCTAGGAGGATTGAAAGAGGCGAGTCGAAAATTCTGTGTAATTGAGGTGGTCGTTCAAGTGATGCGCGTGCTCCGCTTTCACCACATTGATCCGACTATCCCAACTAGACAGCCAATCGCTCGCGATAATGGGTAAGGGGAGGATCGGACGCTGTTGGGGGAAGACGAAGAGTCACGCACGAAGGAGCGTGCAGCAAGAAGGGAAGATGGCGCGTAGATGCAAAGCAAGGAGCGGATTTACGCAGCGTGCAAGAAATTTGAAAAACAGCCGCGTGCGCGTTATTGCGAAAGAAATTAAAAAATTCCGACCACACTAATTCCTAACCTGGTCCATTTGTTGGATTTCTCGGCGCGGTCGATAACCATCCGTGTAGAGAAATCAACAGGGGCAGTTCTGAAAGATACAAGTTTCTTTTCCGTCCCCCACTCTGGAAACATAGACCCCGCTTTTCTAAATCAACCAGAATCCATACTTAGAGGCTTACTTCGGATTTTTCTACCTAAGGGTACGGGAAGCCACGGATCCTGGCTTATCACAGGCCAACCCAGTTGCGCTCGGCACTTCAGTAGTCATAGGACTTGCTATTTCTAGAGTGCTCCTCAGTAGAGAAGGGGCACAAAGCAGTTGATTTCCACCATCCGGTGCAGCGGCAGAGCCTCCGTGAGTATACCTGCACAGCAGGAGTGGAAATGCAAGTGAGTTTTCCTTTTTCGTTCCGTTTGGTTGCAGGAGGCGCACACATTTTGCAAGGGCTTCCACCCACCCCAATATTCCCGCGGTGCTGGCCCTGAGGGCCATCTTTTCATACCAAAGGACCTCACTTCTTACAAAACTTGTTATATGCAAATCTAGCTGACCACTTCGTCTTCACTTGTCGAGGATTGCCTGAACCACAAGAACAAAATCTGTAAGGTCTTCGGAACACTAGTGTGGAACTGTTGTGGTCTTTGGAACACCAGTGTGGAACAGTTGTGGTCCTTAGAACACCAATGTGGAACTGTTGTGGTCCTTGGAACACCAGTGTGGAACTGTTGTGTTTTTCTTCGAAGAAAAGGAAAAATCCTCACGACTCGCGAGCATTTGCGACAGTCATCTCAGAACAGATGCTGTGATGAATTAATTAAATCACTGTCTCTGTCCTCCTGAACACGCGATAAAGTTGGAACTGCACAGAGAAATAATTAGCATGCCATGTCATCTGCTGTTACTCTATGGGGGTAGGGGACGATGAAGAGGGAGGTACAGCTACTGGCAAAATGCTCGGTCTTGTCCTTTGAGAAGATTAGCATGACCGTTGTGCAAGGATGACATGCAAAGAAAAAGCTTGGTCTTTGTGTTAGCCGGGCTTCCATCAGGGCCCGGACCCCTGGCAAGGGGCAACATGCAAGCCCTTCATTGTGAGGCAGCTATGGTTGCAGCCTTGCAGGGTCCCCCTGTATAGCCTTAGGAGTAGTGGTAGGTGGGTAGGTAGTGAAAGGTGACCTGAGAGAAGGGGGGCAGGAAAGAAAAAAGCTCCTGGGCATGCAAGACTTGCACGAATAAATAGAAGCAAAAACAAGAAAAAAACACTCTGGCTCGTTTCCTCGTTTGATGTACCAGGAAGCAGCCTGTGAGCTGCGGGGTGTATGGAACGCAGGCGGGGGCTAGGTCCCACTTGCACGAATTAAGAGATACTGACCGTAGATACCAAAGATCAACGGCCGAAATTTCCTAATTTGCTCAAGTGTGACCTTGCCCCGGTTGGCCTGTAAGCTAAAAGTTCAACTTGCTAAAAAAAAAAAAAAAAAAAGTTCAACTTGGATGATGCTTCCAGTAGGCTCTCTGGCGTCGAATTTGTTTGTTTGTTTGTCTTTTTTTTTTTTTTTTTTGGCGTCGAATTTGACGTAGTAATGAAATTTAAAAATTTGGGGGGAGGGGGAAAAAACGTGGGAAAAGTTATAAAGACCTCCCAAAAGGACTTTTCGTGTCATTTTTGCACCCTGTAAAACACTTTCCCGCCATTTTTGCACAGTGGGCGGGCATTACCGGGCGAAAAATGACACGAAAAGTAAGTCATTTTGGGGCCTGCGACACTTTTTGCACGGTTAGAGGCGGGGGGGGGGGGGGGAATGAATACAAAGGTTTCGTCGGCGGGAGGATATATAACCTTTTCCCATAACTTTTCCCTTTTCCTTTCGGTGCAACATATTTGTGGCAATGACCGCAGCAATCTACCGATTTGGATGCCATTACCGCTGAAGGTTATTAGCATAAGAGGGAACGAGCGCTGGAGGCGATGTCGAGGACCCAGTGAAGGCGATTTGGTGGCCATGGAGTCGCAGAGGCGAGGCGTGCACGCAACAATAAGTGAGAGGTTTTCCGTTTTCCCGTCCTCGTCTTGAGTTTCCCTTTTCCGGGGCTAAGTCCCACTAGCAGTGCTGAGTTTTCTCAACGCCTGAATCTGGACGTGTTCGTGGATATGTGCAGAAATCGCGTCGAATTTTCTCAACCGCACATCTGCACGAGCGCGTCCAGATTGAGGCGTTGACGAAACTCAACGCTGCTAGTGAGACCTGGCCCCTGGATAGATAGACATCACTTTTGCTGTTGCTGGTGTCTAGGTGCTAGTGGTGTCTGCTCTTATCAGCAACACTAACACTGACGGGGGCGTTTGTTTAAAAAAAAAAAAAAAAAAAAAAAGAATACAGCACACCGTCGTGAACTATAAAGAGAGAGCAGGAGGAGAGAAGGAAACAACGGGGGCAACAGCGTGACTGGAGACGTAGACAGAGAGAGGGGAGCCATGCGTGCAGTGCGCCAGGCCGTGGGAGAAAGGAGGAGCGAGTCTCAGCGGCGAGAAGTGGTGGGAGAAAGGAGTTGCAGTAGCCAGACATGTTCGACAGCAGAGACTTCGTGCACGTAGCAAGCAAACAAACAAGAGTCCTTGGCCTCTACAACACCCTTTT